AAAAAAACACGAAAAACAACTAATATCACATGAGAAATCTTGCGCAAATATAGTGTCATCACATGACAATACATTTGTGCAAGCTGAAGACATACATAGGCAAGCTGAAGATGAGACATAACTGAATCAATGAGAGCGTCAGAAGAAAGAAATCGCGGTCGTCAGGAAAGAAAAACCCGAAATGCTTTGGGCTGTGTTGGGTTATTTGGACATCTACCACCAATCATTTCTATAACTTAGTAAACTTATTTACAAAAGAGTTAATTGCGGTGGTGGGCATAGAATATCTCTGTTTCTGTGCTTGAGAGATGAGGTCACAATCATAGCATTTGGCCGTGACTTTCAGGATTATAGGTTTCCGGCCCAGCATAGCGCGTCTTTGTGTCTGCATAACGTCCGTCTGGGTCACGGTTTTCCTTGCGCTCTGCTTTCTCCGCGTGTGGTCGATTTCGTTTGAAGAAGCCGCACTGAAAGTCAAGATGAATTGGGTCGAGAATGTTAACAGTGAAATTTGTGAGACTTACTCTCCACAAAAGGAGAATGAGTAGAGAAAGGAGCACAAGTCCTATTAATATGGCGAGAAGGTACAGCCACCATGGGACTCCAGCCGCTGAAGCCTCATCGTCGATGGCGTTCAGTGAAGTAGTCACCTAGAATCTCCAAAGTAATAGCCCTATTTTTTCCTTTTTAATTTCTTTCTCTTTTGTTTTTCTTTAGCGGTCAGTATCTTCAATTCTATATTTTTGTACACCTCTCCTCTCGTCTATCTCCCGAAAAAGAAATTATTCACTAAAGCACAAAGATAGATGGGGCGACGTAGAGTTGGAAATAATGAAGATTTCCGAAGATTTTCATTATTTCCAACTCTACGTCGCCCATCTATCTTTGTGCTTTTGTGAATAATTTCTTTTTTTTATCGTACGAGCGGCGACCGAAGAGAAGCGACACTTCACACTTTCCATAATGGATTTGTGAAGAATCTCACGAAAATTTACATTTTACAAGGATCTTCAAGGCATTCATACAAGTGGTTCTTTCCAAATCGTACAAGGGACCTTTTTGGGTTAAATATCTCAAAAATGTAAATTGAAAGATGATTTAGACTTACAGCAGTAACTAATGTAGGCTTGTGAGGCCAATTTATCTTGGTATTCGTAACCCGTGCAAGAGCCAGAGACGAGATTTCTCCGCCAGGATTTCGCTCATCAACGAGCGTATTAGTATATAATCGGGAGAAAATCTGAATCGATTATTCTTTGAGACTGGAAGGAATAAAAGCCAATTGAGCTTACGTACCTCAACAAGGACAAATTCATTCTCTTTGATATTGTAAAGATCGCATTCGATATGTGTGCATCGTAACGAGTTGCAGTCTACACTTGCTCGACTTAAAATGCCTTGATAATCTATAACACCGCCAGCATCCTTGGATTCTTTCACTGCTTGACGGAGATCAGAAAAGCGTGCTTTTTCTGTAAGTGTAAAAATGTGTGTATCACTAAGGGCCTAACAAATTCTGATGTATGT